AGAGGCTCAGGCTGAAGATGAGGGCAGCAGTGCAGTGCCTCACCACCGCCACCATCAGGTTCCCACGGGATGACACCTCAGCACCTGTGAGATTGGGGTGTTTGGGTGTCCTCAGCACAGGGCAGGGATGCAGTGACACTGCCACTCACAGGGCACACTGGGGGGACAGAGATGTGGGTCTCAGACTAATTCTCTGATGTGGTCCGTGGAGTGGTAGAGCACCTATAGGTGCCAGCATAGGCTGGGATCCTCCCTAAGTAGATGAAGGTGGCTGTGCCCCACCAGTGGGATCCTGGAGCTGGACAGGGGCTGAGTGCTCAGCACTGTGCAGGAGGCATGCAGCACCAGAATCCTCATGCCAGCTCTGGGTGGATAAATTGGTCCCCAATCTTACATGTGCCATGGGCTCAGGGCTGTGAGGGGCTGATGTTATGAGCTGTGTGCAGGGAGGGAAAGAGATGGGACTTGATCCTCAGGGGAAAGCTCAGGGCCACCCACTGTGCCCAGTACCCTCACCTGTCAGCACCAGCTTCACAGGATCACTCCTCTCTGATGTCCACAGTGGCTCTGACACCTGGTACCGACACTGATACGTCCCTGCATCTTCCAGGTTTGTGACATCAAAGGAGAACTCAGCCGTATCCTGCTCCTTGTCTTTTTCCTTGTTAGATTTCAGAATTCCATTCAACCAGAGCTGGACCCAGGCTTGCACCCGGGGCAGGTGGCAGCGCAGGGTGACATTGTCCCCCAGGGACACCCCCTGGCTGGGGTGCAGCGACAGGGAAGGTCGGGGCACTAGGACAGGGGACAGCAGTCAGCCTTGTCCCTGCACACCTTCCTCTGCCCCTCTCATGGTCCTCTGACCACACTCCCCTCCCTCTCTCTCCAGTCTCCCCCTGCCCCCATACTCACATTCCTGTGCACTGCTTGCTGCCACCAGCCACCAACCTGCAAGGGACACGGTCCTGGTCTCACACAGGGCCACCAACCCCCGAGGCACCACATCCC